GAATGATATTATCACCGAATTCCACATCCCTGTTTAACATACACTGTTAAATATAATTCACCATACTGTTTCATGTCCATGTCTTTAACTGGTTAGAAGATTATAGCTCAAATTTTCTGTAAAAAAAACACTTAGAAAAATTAAAATTTGTAAAACATAGGAATATAAAGTAATGCCTCACTTTACACATTTGCAGAATTGTTTCTTTAGATAATTAGTGAGTTCCCTTCATGCTCTTAAAATAACTGATTTAACACATCAGTGGATAAAACAAGATATTAATAATAACCAACTATAACTAAGTCCATGTGTGTTCAAAAGGATACCTTTTGAGGGATATTGTCTAATATGTTCAGTGGGGTTTATTCTTTCATTTGTTACATATATCCTCCAATTTTTCCTTTCAGATTTTTTTCCCAGAGAACTTGTGAAAAATGAATCTATTTTTAGCCAATTTCATAAGTCAAAATTTTTTTCATTATCCCAACTCTACTTGAAAATGGAAGGGTTGGTGGAATTAGGGAAATGGGTAAAAAAGAAAACATGTTTTCAAACTTCACAGACATTTTAAAGGGAGCTTTCCCAAGTCTTGATGTCAATCAGTAATTTTATGTTCAATTCCTTAGTCTTGGTGTCAATCAGTAATTTTATGTTCATCCAATTCAGTGATGATGTTTAATGCGATTTTTGGACAGGTGTCTGTGTAGCTAAACTCAGGGTCATTGAAAAGTCCATTTCTACCCAGATTGTTTTTTAAGCAATTTACATTTCTAATTTTAAATCTCCATCTTCTGACTTATGATCTGCTTTCTCCTTGGCTGCTCTGAATGATTGCTTTCCTTCTGGTGCAATCTGCATAAAGCTGCTTACCATCACAGGGATATTTATTGTTTTAAAATATGCTCATAGATCAAGCCTGCAGCACGTATTTCACATGCAGTCCCTTCAACTTTCCAATTTTCCTTCTATAGCATTGCTATTTATATACCTACCTAATCTCCAAAAAGTTCAAAGCCTCTTTCCTTTACACATTTCAGTAATGGAAATGTCAGGGAAAAGCGAGGTGATAGGACATACCTGACTAGGCTGTTTAATAGATGCTTTATTTCTTCATTTATTTTGTTGCCTCTTACCTCAAATAGCAAATTCTAGAAAAACACATAAACAATTAGTAAGAAGAAAAATATGCTTGGCTTATTAGAAAAATAAAGTATGGATTCTTGGATCAACTCTAGAAGCAAAAAGTTATGTAATTTAAAAACCACATATAAGAGCCAAGCTTTGTGATATTAGTGGGAGAGTGCTGCTCCACAGACATTGAGGCAACATGGGATGCTGAGCTTGGTTTTGGCCTAATCTAAATGGGTCATGTGTTTGCCACGTGCCTGTGGTCCTAGATAGCTAGAAGGCTAGAGTGTGAGAAATGTGCTATCATGAAACCTTGTTGAAAATCTCTCTCTTGGGGCCAGCAGGTGGCATGGTGGTTAAGGCACTGCATTCCCACATGGCTGACTGGGGTTCAAGTCTTGGACCTGGTGTCTTGAAAATTACGCTGGCATGGGATCAGCACTTAGCGTAACGGCTATGTCGCTGGACTCCCATGTAGTTGACCGCAATTCGAGTCCCAGACCCGGTGGCTTAAACTCACGCCAGGCGCGTGTGCGTGTGTGCCCAAGATCCTGAGAGGAGAATGGAGGAGAAGGGATTGCGGCATGGCCATCCCCTCTGGGGGGTAATTTCTTGCTTTCTATCTCTCTATCTCTCTCTGTCTTTCTGGCAAGCGCATACACCCTATAGCCAAAAGCTAAAAAAAAAATAAAAAAAAATAAAAAAAGGAGAAAAGAAAAGGAAATTATGCTGGCCATGTGTGCACTCATGCCCAAGATCCCAGGAGGAAAATGGAAGAGAAGGGATTTCAGTGTGGCCATCCCACAGGGGAAGATTTCTCACTTTCCCTCTCTCTGGAGAGCATATGCACCCTATGACAAAAACCTAAAGGAAAAAGAAAAAAAAAAAAAACCCCTACTTCTCTCATTAAAAAAAGAGATAAAACCATATATGAAATTACTTCTTGTATGTAAAATAATATTCCTACTAATGCCTTTGTATTTGAAATCTTTGGTGTCTTTGTATTTTTCTACTTGTGCAGAAGAAATCCATTCATCCACTCTGTAAAGAGTGAAGCTTTGGTCAACTTCTATAAATTGAAACCCAGTGAGATTAAAAGCAGAAGGATTCTCCCCGAACAATTTTCAGATCTTGCCTGATTTCCACATGTCCTTCTGCCTGACTTGTATTTTCATCTTATCTTTATTGTTCTCAAACTGCTTCTTCAGAAGTGACCCACAAAACCACTCTTACTGAAATTACTTTCAACTTGCTCAAGCAATTTGGAAACACTTTAGTCAGAATATCTAAATAAATCACTTTCATAGAAAACTGAACTGTGAGTTTGAGAGTTTGATTCCTAAGATTCACCAATGATTTTCTCTATTTGGCTTTTTCTATAAGGAAAGTATCCCTTTATTGTACAGGAACTATTTCCTATTTAAACTAAATCAAACCCACTTTCCTATTTCAACTAAATCAAACAAACTTCTTCAAAACTAAAAACTCATATTTCCTAATCTGACTGAAGGAAATAAAAATTTCTCCTTTAAAACATCTTACAATTTATTCTCTATTTAACTCACTCTTGCTGTATCCTAAAAAATTTCAGTGTCAATTCCTATACAGGATTTTTCAGTTGTCTTATTTAATTACTCTAAAGTCTTTTAATATTTCTGTATACAATTAAGAATCAATATTCCATAGACATCCTTTAATATGTTTAATTAGGAACCTTACGTGACATACCTCATAACTCTGCAGATTGATTTTTATCAAAAGTGAAATATAATTCTTTTTCACAATGATAGCTATTATTATACCTCATAAAATTACAGAAAGCCGGTAGGAGAGATATACTTTCATCACATTATATATATATATATATACAAACAAATGTATTATTATATTATTTGACAAGAACTTATTTGTTTATTTATTTTAGGAGTTTTTCTGCCTTAGTGCATATGTGCTCACCAGAGAGAGACAGACACTGAGAGAAAAAGTGAGAAATCACCCACAACGGAGGATGGCCATGCCTCAATCCCTTCTCCTCCATTCTCCTTCTGGGATCTTGGGAACATGCAACCAGCATAATTTTGAAGCCACCAGGTTCAGGACTTGAACTGTGGTTGGACATGTGGGAGTCCAGTGATATGACCGTAACACCATCTGCTGGTCCTCAAACATATATATAAATATAGATTCAGATAGATGATGATATAGATACAGATATAGGTATAGATATAGAGATAGATATAGATAAATATAGATATAGATAGATATAGAGATATAGATAGATATAAATATAGATAGATATAGATATAGGTAGAAATAGATATAGATAGATATAGACATAGACATAGACATAGACATAGACATAGACATAGATATATAGATATAGATAGATATAGACATAGACATATAGATAAAGATATAGATAGATCAAGAGGTGTTTGCTATAGGGCGTGTGCACTCACCAGAAAAACAGAAAGTGAGAGACAGAAAGACAGAGAGACAGAAAGTGAGAAATCACCCCCTGGGGAGGATGGCCATGCCGCAATCCCTTTTCCTCCATTCTCCTCTCGGGATCTTGGGCATACACCCACATGTGCCCGGTGTGAGTTTAAGCCACCAAGTCCAGGACTCAAATGGTGATTGACTACATGGGTGTCCAGTGACATAGCCATTACACTAACTGCTGGTCCCTCAAATATTTATTAATAAAGCAGAAAAATAATGTAATGAATTAGATACTAAAATGTTAAACTTCACTAAATTATATTGATAAAAATATTAATGCAATTGAAGCATCAGTAAATTATCAAAGATTATATTGTATATCAGAGTCTGACTCATCTAATGAATATCACACATAGACATGTGCAAATCTTGGAAATTCTGGAGTAGCTATTTATGAAATACTACGATGAAGCCTAAAGGAATGAAACCAGGCTTAAGTGACAATCACAGCTAGCCCAGGCTCAAAGATGTTTTGACTAAATTTTCTAGAATGCATTTAAATTTCAAACTGTAACCTTGATTCCTGGTGGCATGATATTTAGGACAGTAACTAGTTAATTTTAAGGTGCCTTTTCTGTGTTCTCAAGCATATAGACAGAAAATCATCTGTTAGTGCAACATATGTATTACCTTATATTAACAGGCATCAAAACCGTTTGCCTATGGGACCAGCAGTTAGCGTAATGGCTATGTCTCTGGCCTCCCACATAGTCAACCGCAGTTCGAGTCCTGGACCCGGTGGCTTAAACTCACACTGGGCGCGTGTGCATGCGCACCTAAGATCCCGAGAGGAGAATGGAGGAGAAGGGATTGTGGCGTGACCATCCCCCCGGGGGGTGATATCTTGCTTTCTGTCTCTCTGTCTCTCTCTGTCTGTCTGGCAAGCGCATGTACCCTATAGCAAAAACCATTCAAAAAAAAAAAAAAACCATTTGCCTATGAATATTCTATGATACTCATCTTTGTCAGAAGGAAGATTTAGGACTAGCAGAAACAGCACACAGAAAACGTTGAGCCAGGGAAGTATATGAAATCTATAGAAAAGTATAGAAAAACGTGGTTTAAATGGAAATGAGAGAGCATTCTTTAGTGATACTCCAACTCAAACTTTGTTAATGGAAAAGAAGTATTTTGACTTATTTTACTTGAATACCTAAGAGTGGGATTAACTCCTTACACAGCTGGCTCTTGGGATTCAAATGACGCGATGAGACCTATTTCATTAGTCCATCTCTAATCTCTTTGTTGACCTTATGCATAAGCAAGCTTACTCCCTGGACAGCAAAAATGGCACTGGGGAGCTTAGGATGTATATAGCAATTGGCACTACGTGTCAGAAGGGTCAGGATGCTTCTTTTTTCTGTTTCCAGATCCGTCCTACTACGACCATCCTGACTGGTCCTGCTTCAGTCATATGTCTCTCACTGGTCTGATCCTGTGCTAGGACAGAGAGGTACTCTGTTCTCCAAGCTTCCTAAGATGTCTATGCAGTGAGTTTGTATAGAAGAGAAGAGATACTGGGTTGGCAAAACACAGGCAGATGGATAGGCAGCTATATCAGTAGATACATGATTGGCAGATAGGAGAGAGAATGCACATAGATAGATGGTAGATGGTCGATAGATAGATGACAGAGAAGTAGACAGGCAGATCAAGTCATGGGTTGTTAGGAAAGCCATAATGTGTTTTTTTCTCTTCAAAAATGCATCGTGAGTTTGCCAACATCCGAATACATAGATACATAGACAAGCATTCAATTCAGTAAAACAATGTGTCAGATTTGAACTATGGTCTGATACTAAACCTGCATATATGAAAAATGCTATTTCTGCTATTTCCTCATTCTCGTTTCCTTTCATATTTTTCAGTTTACTGGCCTACATGTTGTTTAGACATTAGTGCTGGATAGTGATTAAGAGCGCAAACTACACACAGAGAAATGCCTTTGGATCTTCTGCCTGAAGCGACCTATATTACCTTGAGTATGTCACTTAGCCACTGTGAGCTTCAGTTTTTGTCATATATAAATGGAAATTATACTATTTACTTCACAAGAAATTTACAAAATTCAATAGGATGATTTATTTTAAAGTGTTTAGCAGAGTCCCTGGCATATGGAAATATGTCATTAAATAGATGCTGCTCTCGATAGTACTGTTACTATCCTTTGATTTCTGTATACATGTTCCTGATTACTCTCGAAGCCTGTAGTAGGTACCACTAAAACCCATTCACTGCTGTTGAGACAGCAAAAACATTGCTGGCATGCGTTCTGGTGACGTTGTCACAGCGTATTGGAGCCCCGAACACCAGTGACATACTTCCCAGTGTACCAGTCAGGCAGAAGCGACCCGCAGTCACGCTGTACTTTCACGTGCACACACGAAATTCCTTAACAATGCTGTCCTTCACCTATGGTCACCTCTGTCTAGCCCTTTAAAATAGGGTGTATGGGTAGTTTTTGCAATACTAGATGCCTGTTGTGAATAGGACTCTTTCCTGATTTATTTGCTGAATTTCCTAGAAGATAAAGAGGGTAAAGTTTTCTCTAGTGTGAAAACTATGCTTACATTGGGGAGATGCTCCTCCCATAAGAACTGAATGTGTTTTCTGGAGAAAATAAGAGTTTTCTTTTGGGAAATAGACCATTCTGCATACTGATAGATTTGACCAGGTGAATTTGGGGGACAGCCTTTTCTTTGGTGGAGAAAATTAAATTTGTTTATTGTGCTTAATACCAAGAGTTTTTCCCATCTTCTAAATAGTCTTAAACTTGAGGTTCCCCTCCTTTTAAGGAAATATCATTTTTTAATCAGCAAAGAATTGCTTCTGTGAATTTATACTAAAGTTGATGCATTATTCCTTTTCAATTCTCTTTTTAGTTGCCAGTGTGAGAAACCTATGGACCAATAAGTAAATTTTGCTGAGTGCTAGATATGATGAGTTTTTCAGTATTCCACTGCAAAAGAAGAAGAAGGAAAAGATGTACTTTAAAATTTTTTACCAAGAATCACTAATATTGTGAAAACTGTTTTCTGTTATCTGAATATGGTCAGGGACATGCGGAAGACTGGGATTACAAAGGAAATGGGGCTCTGGTTTCTATGACATATCTGGCATTACCTTATGGGCTCCCCCAAGGCAATTTCCCACCTGTGTAAAGTGAACTAAAAGATTTTTTTTGGAGAGGTTTTTGCTATAGGGCGCGTGCCCTCGACAGAAAGACAGAGAGAACAGAGAGACAGAAAGTGAGAAATCACCCCCAGAGGGGGATAGCCATGCTGCAATCCCTTCTCCTCCATTCTCCTCTCAGGATTTTGGGCACACATGCACTCGCACCCCATGTGAGTTTAAGCCACTGGATCCAGGACTCGAACTGTGGTCAACTACATGGGAGTTCGGCAACACAGCCATTATGCCAACTGCTGGTCCCTAAAAGATTATTTTTTAAAGTGCTTTAAAAAAGATAATTTACTTCATTCTTATTATCCATTTTATGTATTTTCAAGAGATATCAAATGAAAACATAAAAGAATAAGCAAAAAAGGGGAAATTTTTAAAATCAAGAGGTTACTTCTTATAACTCAGTGCAAATAAATGTAAAAGTCTAAACAGAATGGATAATTATCTAAAAAATTATTGGGTCACCAGAAAAGTCATGACACATTTTTCTATGCAAAACAATGTGTTATGATTTTTCCAATGATACAATATAATTTACCAAAACAATAAAACATGTAACAAGACTGGGACCAGCAGATGGCACGGTGGTTAAGGCACTGGACATTCCCATATAGCCGACCATGGTTTGATTCCTGGAGCTGGTACCTGGTGGCTTACTTTCTCAATTCCTTCCTTCCTTCCTTCCTTCCTTCCTTCCTTCCTTCCTTCCTTCCTTCCTTCCTTCATCTCTCTCTTTCTCTGTTTTTCTCTGATCAAGTGAAATAGAAAATAAAGGAATGAATAAATAAAATTAAATAATTCTTCTTAAAAAATGTGTAACAAGACCAATTTTCCTATTTACAAAGTTAAAATGGGTACAGATGGTGGTACAGAAGTAAATTGTAGGTGCTTTGTAAGGTAATCTCAGCTTCCTGGTTTAAGTCCAGAAACTTCCCCAAGAATGCCAGGCATGAGTTTGTCCATGACCCAGGGCTGGCTAAAACCTGGGGTGGGGGGTGGGGGGTGTTGATTGCCAGACCCTGTTAGGGGTGTTGTCTCTCTCTCTCTCTTTTTCTTCCACTCATAGAAAAAATAAGTAAACTTTAAAAAAAAAAGATAGAATGGCTATTTATTTGGCTCTTCTTTAAAATTCAAAAAAAGCTTAAAAGTTGAATGAATAAAAGCCTTACACACCTTGATTTATATCCAGCCGTCTTATGTTTTCATTGGAATTTCAATTACATACCTTTAAAATTACTTTTTTCTATCTCTGCATTGCAGTATACAGAAATAAAATTAAGTATACTGATCATGGAAGAAGCAAGACTGTCAATCCCTCCCATAATTTCTAATAATTTGTCTAGGAAAGCTTCAGAATTTTCTATGTGGACAGTCACATGTGTGAGTGATGAAAGATTTGATCATTTCTTCCCAATTCTAACTTACACCATTTACAGTGGTTGTCCCCTACTTTATCCATAGCGAACACATTCCAAGACTCCCTGTGGATTCCTGAAATCACAGACAGTACTGAACACTGTATCACTAATTTTTTAAAATCTAATAACCAAGATGGCTAGAAACTGAATGGGTCCGTAGAATATACCACATGAATATGCTGGATAAAGAGATGATTCAGGGGCCAGCAGATGACGTAGTGTTATGTCACTGGGTTCCCACATGACTGACCATGGTTCAAGTCCTGGACCTGGTAGCTTGAAAATCATGATGGGCTTGTGTGCGTGCGTGCCCAAGATCCCAGGAACAGAATGGAGGAGAAGGGATTGCAGCATGGCCATCCCCCTGGAGGGTGATTCCTCACTTTCCCTCTCACTGTCTCTTTCTCTCTGTCTCTGGCAAGCATATGTGCCCTAAGGTATATGCTCTTAAAAAAAAAAAAAGAGAGAGAGAGAGAGAATTCAAATCCCAGGCAGAATGGCATGAGATGTCATTACTCAGAATGGTGTGCAATTTAAAATTTATGTATGAATTGTTTATACCTGGTACTTCTCACTTAATATTTTTGGGGCTATAGTTAACCATGGGTAACTAAGCCACAGACGGTGAAACTGAATAAGTTCTTTTTTTTGTCATTTTTACCTTTAAACAGTTTTGGTATCAAACTCAAGTTATCCATGGAATAAGCCCAACTTACGCATAATGAACTATCATGTTCATGTGGTTAAGTTTTATAATCCTCTGCTTAGAATGTTGGTTTATATTAATGAGTCAGATTAGCCTGTGATTTGCATTTGTCACACTTTGTGTTTTGTTATAAATGTTAAACTAGTCTGTTAAAATGCATAAGGGACTATAAATTTTGTCCTTGCTCTGAAAGATTTTGTGAAGTATTAGATTTATGTGTTTCATCAGTTTAGTAGAATTCATTTATAAAGCCCACATGCTCTCCAGACATGAGTGTGTCCAGGAGTGATCCAGGGCTGGATGAGGCCTGGGGTGGATTATGGCCTCTGGACCCCACTGGGAGTTCTGTGCTCTCAGTTTCCTCTCACTTTATTGCTTACTTATGGGAGAAATTAAAATTTAAAATGAATAAATAAATAAACAGAAAAACTTTATTTAAAAAATGTGTGGAATAGTTGATTTCTTTGTAGGAAGATTTTAAACTACTTATTCAATTTCTTTATTGGTGGGTGAGACTATTTCTTGAACAGCTGTTGGTAGGGTGTATTTTTCCTAACAATTTTTCTAAATATAATTGTTTATATTATTTTCTATGTTTTGAAATTATACTACATCTGTGGTTATGTCCACTTTTCATTTGCAATATTCACTATCTGTTATTTTTTTCCATTTATTTAATTTTTTTTTTAGGTTTTTGCCATAGGGCACATGTGCTCACCAGAGAAAGACAGTGAGAGGGAAAATGAGACATCACCCCTGGGGGAATGGCCACGCTGCAATTCCTTCTCCATTCCCCCCTGGAATTTTGGTATGCACACACATGTCTGATGTTATTTTCAGGTCTGGAACTCAAACCATGGTCAGCCATGTGGGAGTCCAGTGCCTTAACCTCCACACCATCTGCTGCCCCCACATTTATTCTTAGTCTCAACAAGGGTTAAACTATTTTATTAGTGTTTTTAAAGAACAGGCTGGAAAAAAAAATTTGTACAGTGTAAAGATGGACAGTGATGATGTGTACATTCAAAAGTATAAAAAAATTTTTAAAAAGGACGAACTTTTTACTTTATATTAATATTTTTATGTTATTATTTTAGATGCATACACATTTAGGCTAGTTTAATCTTCCTTATTCAATTGAACTTACATAATAACCTTTGGAATAACCTAAAATTGCTTTTTTATCTCAAAACCAGTTTTGCCTGAACTTAGTATTTCTCCCATAGAGTTCTTTCAGTTAATATTTAAGATTGGTATACTTTTTTTCATCCCTTTACTATTTATATGTTTGGATGAGCTTCTTATTTTGTTTTGTTAAATTTATTTATTTATTCCTTCCTTGAGTGAGAGAGACAACATATATAGCAAGAGGAATAAGGAGAGAGAGAGAGAGAGAGAGAGAGAACCCTCAACAGAGTCCTGATGCCATGATCCACGCCAAGCCTCAGTCAGCCCCAGGTCATAGGCAAGGCTGTGCCTGGTGTACTCAGGAAGGTTTCCAGACTCGAACCAGGAACCCTCTCTGTGGGACTGCCTTGCAGAGCTTCACATTTTACTGCTGTACCAGCACTGGCCCAAGACAAATATCTTAAATCTTCAATTTGTGATTTGGGGCAAATTGCTCATAGTTCATGAGCCACAATTTCTCATTTATGAATAGAAAAGGTAAAATTTA